GCTAAGGTTGAGACATAGAGGTCTAGGCAAAAGAACCCAATCCGTTGGTCCGGAATTCTTCAATTTTACCAAGATTTTAAATCACATTTACTTATAATTATATTTTATTAAAATAATTAACCGTAAATAGCAACAAAATAATAAAAATGGGAAACATCAAAATGACGTTACGCCGTGACAATCTGGCATTCCCGAGAGTCATCTACCGGAAGTCTCGTGCGGTCTCACTGAGAAACAAACTCATAGGGGCCGCAGAAGGTAAGAATTACCTCAAGATGGTCCACTCCTCTCTTTGAGCCCATTAAAAAAAGTATCCTCAAAAGTCTGTGGCAACGTCTTCGCAAATGCGCACCCTTTGCGAACAGAGTACTTGTGTGAAAAAATCAAAGTGAAACTAACAAGTTCTTTAAGATCTAAATAAGAATTCAAATTTCAGATGAACGCTTTTCTAAAATGGTTACACTGAAAAAGAACCTTTTCCAGAGGAAGGGGTGATTGTTTTCTTCGTTTAATTTGACTGTAGAAGGAGAGGGAAGAGGTCATTAAAATATTTTAAAAACCTAAAACTCCACACTGAACGCACCCGAACAGCTGAAGAAGAGCAGTAGATCTGCGCACACAAAGAGGTGCTTTTCCTATGCTTCTTCTCGAGAAACGAAAGAGAGCTTCAAAACAAAGACTGAAGCGCCATCTGAGCCGTTGCGCGGACTTCCGGCAGACACTTTTTTGGCTGAGTGGACCATCTTGTTATGTACAATCATTAATCTAGCCAAATCTAGCCTCAAAATGAGCAGTAAAATTTTTCTTGTTTTTAAGGAAGGACTTCTGTAACGAGCTACCACCCCAACAAACACAAAAATAATTTAAGAAGAGACTTGGTCTTATCCCTGACCCTACCCCAAACCCTAACCCTAACCTTACCCCAAACCTAAAACTAAACCCTAACCCAAACCCTACCCCTACCCCTTGACCGCTCTGTTCTACTCTGTCTCATAGTGGCCGCTCGATACGGAAGTCCTCCCATTTTTATTAAGGCAAGGGAAGTCGTTATTTTGCGCCTCCGTTACTTTAAATTTTTTTTATTTGGACACCCCATCTCCGGTTGGAGCCTAAGCCTATACTTTGCAAGTTGGCGGATGCAGGTTCCTCACTGAATCTAAAACACGTGAAGCTGCAGCGAGCACCTAGCACACCCCTGTGATTGGCCCAAATATATGAATGACGTATTTTTCGCCATCTATTTTTGTCGTCTTCCTGGGTTTCCCCCAAAACTCTTGGGTTTCCTTCGCCACTAACTGTTGACTAGGTCTCGCCATTTGTTTGTTTTGTTTTTTTATTAATTTATATAAATCTTTTATAAACAATCTAAGTCTAAGCAATTCTCGTTCCATAAGTTTACCTGCTCCTCAAAGTTGTACACACACACACACACAAATGCGTGCGCGTGCACACACACCCACAGGCACACGCACACAGCCCAAGCAGTCGGCGATGAAACCTAGTGACGTAAACCATCACGCACTAAGCAGCAAAGCTGGCCTGCCACGGTGAGACCTTGTCAACTGGCGAGGGAAGCCCCTGAAGACAACAAAAATAGCTTCATGTCACTGAAACTTGGCGATGCGTTGAGTTCTTATGAAAAGTTTAAGCTCAAATTAAACACTTTCGAAACTGAAACACTTACACAATTCATTATTCGTGGATAATTGAAGAGTGACCCCCCCCACACACACACACACACACACACCCATAGATCTACATCCAAAGAAGACCCACAAGAATATCAAAATAGAAAGCAGAGTTAGTAATCAAAAACTAACTAAGTTTGTACAAAATGAATAAAACAACCTCTCCCCCCCACCCACCCCCACCCCAACACACACACACACTTTTTTTCTCCAAGCCACCCACTGAGAAGACAATTGAAAAAGTAATATTAAATAACAACTAACAAATGCAGAATAATAACCAGATTATTTGCACCCCCGGGGAGGGGGGAGGGCAGAAAAACGACCAGATTATTTACACCTAGGGTGCACAATAATGGCAGCCATTTCACTTGGTTTTAACTAGGGGGATTTCAGCATATTTCATGGGGGCTTGCCCCCCCTGACCTAAAAATATATATGGGCCGTTCAAGGGGGAACTGAAAACCCCCTGGATTGAACCTAAGCGTGAAAATTACTACTCTAATTTAATAGCCTGCGTAGTATAGTTCAAACAGAAATCATCTTGTTTCAGTAACAAATAACTTGCGATGGAATAGTATAGTCAATTTCATATAAAACAGAGGTACATAAATGAACAAGAAAAGTGCATACGTATGTTATGTATACATATTTGAAGTAAACCCCCCAGCATGAGATGGGAGTGAAAGTACAAAAAAGGGTGAACCTGATAGATAGTAGTAGTCTATTGATTTATCAAATTATTGAAGAAATGATTTACTTGAAGAATCAAACATAAAGATGGATGTGGTCACACTTTTGCCTTGTCATTTACCATGACCACTGTGTATACACAATAGTTGCTATGGCTCTTTCTCAACACAGTTGTTTATATAAAATCAATGAGCAACAGAATTTGATTCTAAATCTACCCTCTCTCCAACCCTGCATAATAATGCCATATTTATATATCTTATATTCTCCTGCCTTTGTTTTGCAGAAAACTGTTTCTTCAGTTCTGAAGCTGCACCTAAAGAATGAGAAGGTGACAGGTATGTCTTATTTATGAAAAGTCAGACTGAGGTAGCCAGTTGTGGTATTTTTCATCCTGTACCATGCAGTTTTACTTTTGATTTTAAGATTAAGCTGGATCAACATTTTCAGGAGTAAAAAATGTTGAACTTGATTGAACTTATAGTTAAGGCATGAATTTGTTGGATCAAATAATTAGAAGCTCCATTCTTTGTTTCTCTACTCAGTCTTGAATCTCACTATGACACCTCTTGAACTCCAAGAATAGACACTTTTCTTTTTGTCAGCTTTCTAGTTATTTCAGATCTATAGCTGTTTAGGTTAATATATATATAATAAGTTGCTTTAATAACCAAACACAAAGTTTCACTTGATAAAGTAGCTGTTTATTTTTATTGGCACATCATACATTTTGCTGATTACAACTACAGTGGAAACCATATATATATATATATAACAGGCCCCCCAAAAATCCCAGTTTTTCCCTACTATTTGTCTCTATTAAAAGTTATTGGCAATAACAGGGCGTCGTCGGAGCCCAATCGGTTATAGCAGGGACAAAGGCTTGCTAACAATGTGTAAAAAGTAAGAGAGAGAGCGAGAGTAACGCAGTGATGGAGCAAACCCACGCTAGCCACCCCACTGCAAGCACATGCAGCGGGTGAAGCGAGAGAGGGCTGCTCTGTGCTGCAGTTGTTTCATGCGCAGGCCTGCCACATGACCTCGAGAGAAGGCTGCGGGTAATTGTGGCAAGGGAAACTACCCATGAATTAATACAGCTGGATAAGTCCACAAATGCTTACTTCCCTTGCATTTCTGATGTAACAGGACTTTTTTTCTGGTCCCACCATCCCTGTTATATCAGGTTTCCACTGTACTTATTCATATGTTTGCCCACAGTGAAGAAACGACCCCTGTGCTTAGTTACGGAGCTGATGCGCATTTTCTCAAAAGGTAACTCATGTCACTGACTGAATTATGTCAGCAATAAAGGACAACTATCTGTTAATTTGTAAATGCTGACTGGTTTTTGTTGTAGTTTTAGTTTTTGGGGGCAACATATATTTGGGCACAGATAACATGAACACTGAAAACTCAAAATCACAGGGAGCACGCACAAAACGCCATTCCCCAATTGAACTGACTGAGAGGCAACACTGTTTTCTCAAGCACCCATTTATGGATTTATCGGACAGATTTTCTATTAAAAAAAACAGCTTAAGTTTTTCGTCATTGTTGTCCCGAATTCAAATTGTCCTGCATGCATGAAGGAAAACAAAACAATACATCCATCATCAATGAGAGTATCAGGGTAACCCCATTTCTTGTCTCATTCTGATGACAAAAACGAATGACATCACAAAAAAAAACTTGGCTGTGATTTAACATGTAGCACAGAATGGTTGGATAGGTTCAAAATGAAACACGGCACTGTCATTCAAACGGCTTTGTGCAGTGAATCTGCTACAGTAAATCCATTGCAGTGGTTTTATCTTCCTACCATTGGACTATCAAAGTTACTTCCCTTGATTTTCTTCCATTGGTATCTAATGTTTCGCTTTATCGGTTTACCCAAATTATGGATGTGTTGAAGACATTTGTCAATCTCTGAGTTATTTGAGTAATCTGTGCCCAATTGTATGGGGATTATGTAATGGCGAGCAGTATGAATTGTCTTGTTAAACAAGGCCCAAGAGCTGGAAGTCTCTGGTTTTAAGTGTGTTTAAAACTGTCACTAGCAGTAGGGTATTTGAAAATGGTCAAATTGTGGGAGTTAGTAGTAACCCAGCAGCACTGGGCTCCTGCCTTTCAAATCAAATGTACACCATTTTGTAAGTTGTTTTTTTCTATTGTTCTTTGAGAGGAAAAATTCATGTACAGTATAACAGGGATAGCTCGATTTAGTTGGGACCGGCGTCGATACAGCAGTTTAAGGGATCCGTGGTTCAAGGGTACATGAACAGTATTATGGCATCAGCTGTGTCAGAGAATCAAGGGAAGCAACAAAGATTGCTACTTTAGGGGCAAAACAATAGATCATGTGATGCACAACCCTTCCTCTTGCCCGCTCCACACAAGTCTAGCTAGACCTAAGGCCTAGGCATGTGTGTCGAGCAGCGCTCAAAATAACACAGCTAGCTGCTTCTGTCGAGGGAGAAAGATGATATTTTACAGACTCTGCCTTTTTTCCGTATTTTATACTATTGTTATTATTAATTTGTCTCAAGTGCACCTCAAAGGACGTTGACTATAGACCTCTACAGCGGCGTAATTAGTTCGACTATTCCGTGTTTGTGTTCGAGCTTCACGTAATTTTCTTACAAAGATAAAGAAAGAAAAAAACGGGACCACAGGCACAATTCGACGGATGAGTGATTTCGAGTCTTCCGTGTTCAACCTGTCGGTGTTGTAATGTAGTAAGATCTTGCAGGCTGAGGTAGTAATAGAGCAGTTAATGGAAATCCAAAAGCTAGTTGGCAGAAGATATGATGTAAAACTGCCAAGTGGGAGAAAGAGAGATTATGCTCTTGTTGACACACGCATCTGCTGGTGGATGAGTCAGTTTATTGCTGCATAGCAATTGTATAGCCCTGACTGCTCTCTTACCAAGTTCAGATTTTTCTGTAGTATTGCGTGACTTTTCAGTGAAGTACACTGTATTCCACATTTGTCTCAGATTGTTGGAGGGTGCAACTGCTTTCCTGCCTTTTACCCTACTGTAAGTAACTTTTGGTATATATTGATGTGCATCTCTTTAAATGACACGACAGACACTCACATGTGTAACTTAGACGGTGTAAGTAATGTTGTGGACAGTATGATTGTCTTTATTCTGAAGTGTTCTTTTGTTTGTTTATTTCAGAAGCCCTGACACGTGCAGCAGATCAGGCAAAGGTAAGGAAAATCTAATGCTCCATTACAATGGTTGAGTAAATAGAATATAATGGGATTTTGCACTTTGACACCTGACTATTTTTGGTTTTTCTGCCCTTGATACTGAGCTCACTAGTAGCCTCCTCTCATTGAAGGGTGTTAGGATGGTGATATAGAGGGGGGCTGGGAGTACAAGGTCTTGTCAGTTTCTTACAGAAAGCAATAAGCACCTCCTACCTATAGGCTATTACGATACAAAAAGTTTACAATAATCTTTTGTTGTTGATTTTATTTTATTCATAGAGATTCTGGGAGATAGTTCAGAAATGCGGATCAAGGAAGCAAAGTGGAATAATAATGCTTTAACAGCTGGGGAAGGGGAGGGGGCTCTTTGAACCCAGACTGTACAGTCAATGGTTGAACACATCAAGTACTTTTACTTACTTTTCCGATCCAGTGGCCATCTGGGTTCTAGCCCTTCGGCCTGTCGATATAGCAAAGAATTTACAGGTTTTTATCAGCTGTGTTTTGTTGCTGTATAAAGTATTTCCGATATTTGGGGAGACAGGTAAGTAGATGCTACGCAGGTCGTTAAGTGCACAGCAGGAAAAGAGATGGTGTGATACTGTTTCATCCTGGCAGTCACACAGCAGGCAGTCAGGTGGGATATCTTTGTGGATCCTATTTAGGTAAGAATTCAGTGGGATGTGTTGTGTTCGCAGGCGAAAAATAGTGACTTGTTCTCTTCTACTCAGGGAGTTAAGCGCATCTTTTTAGTTGGGAGCAGTCGTGTGTGCAAACACAGCTCTTCCAGTTTGTCCCACTGCCCATCCATTCAGCCACTGTTCCCTGGTGTTGCATTTGATGATGTTCTTGACTGTCTGTTGTGATTCTGGGTTTTGAGGTTGTGTTTGTGATGCTCCCTTCTTGGCAAGGGTGTCTGCTCTGTCGTTTGCTGGGATGTTGCTGTGGCCTGGTATCCAGTGTAAATTCAGGTCAACGGCAATAGGTCTGCATGAAAGTGTTAATTGGTTGAGCCACAAATAGGCAGGCTGGGCTTTCGAAATCCATGTTTTCCAAAGCTTAGAGTACTGATTTTCCATCTGTGAAGATTACAGTGTCCTTGATTTTGTCTGGGTATATGGTGAAAATATTGGTTAGGTGGAGGATTGCTGCTTCAATGACAATGGCCTCAGCCTCATGATTTGTACAAGAAGTACCACAGGCATCAAATACAGTCAAACCTGTGTAAGACGACCACCCATTGTCAAGGAGAAAAGTGGCCGTAGTATAAGACAGGTGGCTGTCTTAGGCAGGACTGATCAAGATGAAGAAAATAAACCCCATTCCCATTCAAAAGTAGCCGCATTATTGTTGTTTTCGTTGTTGTTGTTGGTGGTGGTGGTGGTGGTTTGTATTTTGTTTGTTATTTTTATTTTGTTGCTGGTTTTGTGCTAAGGTGACAATAAAACTAAATGTGTCAGACAAGGAGGAGCGAGTGCTATGGTAAAACAAATATATGGGTGGGCACCACTCGAAGAATGAGCGACGCTTCTGTCACAAGTCCATGTTGACGTCCATTGTTACTTTGTTACAGACTGGGTAAACAGTGACCTCTCATCTCACTTACGATTTGTGTATGAGTTCTGGGCGGGGCTTATGGGTTATGAGGGATCACACGCTTCCCTGACCAACAGCTGGAAATTGGTACCTATTGGTCAACAGTGAGAGGGGCCTACGCAACATGATGGGTTGGAGGGACTACCTAACAACAACGACAAGTGATTAGATTATGACGGCTCGCCCACAACGCCAGGGGCCAATGCACAATTAATGACAAAACGTAATGAATGGAGTCACTAAGGTGGCCGTCTAAGACAGGTGTTATTGCTTAGTGTGATAGGGGTTGTGTGATAAAATAATATGGTGGCCGCGGCCGCGTTGGACAGGTGCCCGTTTTACACAGATTATATAGAAAAAACGCAAGGGGGGAAATGGAAAGTGGCCGTTTGTACAGGCGACCGTCTTATAGAGGTGGCCGTCAGGGCAGGTTCGACTAGTTCTTCACATGTATTGTTAGGATGTTCTATTCTTACTCCAAAGCCTGCATTAGTTGTTCCCTTGAAGGCTGACCCGTCAGTGTAAATATGGATAGAATTACTGAGGTAGGAGTCAATTGTTTTGAGAGCTGTGGTCTTCAGTTCTACTGGGTCACATTCCTTTTTCATTGTCTCTTTTATGAGGGAAGTTTTGATGTTGGTGTTTGGGGGGGGGAGGGCGGGGGGGGAGTTCTGGTCTTAACAGTTTCAGCATTTCTCTGTTACATGGAAGATGGCATTTTTCTACTAAATTGGTGGCTGTGTCGAGTATTGATTTTCCGTGGATTTGTTTCTTTGGTCGTCTCTGTTCATTGATCTTTCTGTGTGGGTGGTTCTTGTCTAGTCTCTTGCAGCATTCACTCATCTCCACAACTGCTGCCTCTTTCCCAAGGTCCAAAGGTTCCAGGTTTGTGTGGACTTCACAAGCTGCAGTTGGAGTGGATCTCAAAACTCCTGAGATAAATCGTACAGCTTGATTCTGAATTTTGTCAAGAGACCTCTGAGTTGGTTTGCTGCAGATTGTCTGCAGGGTTAAGTTGTATTCCATGGCATAGCGTACATAGCCGACATATAGCTGTCTGAGTGCATCCTTGTCCGCTCCCCATGAGCTGCTAGCCAGCCGTCTGAGAAGGTTAAGTCTCTTGTTGGCCTTAGTCTTCGGGTTCCAGATATGGTTTTTGCATAATAACTGCTCTATCCCGAGGTAGGTTGGGTTTTCAACTTTTTCGAGTTTGGTTCCTGCAAGTGAGATGGTGACATTTTGCTTTGCGACCTTGTGACTTTTTGTAAAGACGATGTAGATTGTCTTGGTACAATTTGCTTTTAGTGTCCACTTGCAGAAGTAGTTGTCAAATCTATCTAGATATTCATTTTTTAAATAATAAATTATAAGTCGTGCTCTGATGCCATCTTGAACACATCAAGTACACTGCCAATGTATTTTATAATGCTTTTCATGAGTGTTTATGAAAAGAGTTCACTGGATTATATGTGATCAATCTGCCGCCTACCAAATATTCAAGGAGATGTGTGTCATAGAATGATCAAACCTACCAATTTAGTGGTTGTCATAATTTTGCTGGACATTTTTAGAAATATGCGTCTATAGTCAGTCTGCCTTCCCGTCCCTGCCATATTTCGCTACGTATTTTGTGGTTCAGTGAGAACAACACTGTAACTTTTAAGTTGACCAGTATGTCATCCTTTAGTTTCCTGACTGCATTTGTGAAAGTTCATCACTTAATGGGTTTTTTTTCTCTTTTTCAGAATGAAGGGGACAGCCAAGTTACTCTCGAACACTTTGAGAAAATCCTCCCTCAACTGGTTGGTTTTTCTGTATCATATGTGTTTGTATTGCTCACTAGTGAAACAATTGAAATGTAGGGGACTTTCCTACGGTAGACAGAGAAATAGTTGTAAGGATGAAATGTCCATTTTCCCAATAAAATCACCGTGCACGGCAGAAAAATTGTGAAAATGAGAGTTATTTTCACAAAACTATTTTTCTGTTGTACTTTATTAGGGTGATTGGTGTGTACTCTGATGTGATCTGCTCCTTCTACTTTTTTTAGAGGTGCCTTTGTCTCTTCTGCTGATTTGTGAAACAAAAGGGGGTTCTTGTGGTCTAGAGCTTGCAGTGTTCACCTCTCATTCAATAGGTCCCGGGTTTGACACCCCACAGCAATAATAACTTTTTTTCTCTAAAATGATCTCCTATCCTGCTCTCTAACCATGTTCTGTCGTCTACTTCTGTCTCCACTTTCTGTCCCCATCCCCATTTACCCCATCCTCTTGGCTACTGACCTTATGCCGTTGCGAACGCCGTAAAACCTCTACTAAAACTTTCTGCAGCCTTGCCTCCTTCTTACTGCTGTCTTTCACTTCAGCCACAACCCTGATCTGATGGTAGGAAAGATCTATACCTTGCATTCTCGGACAAGGTGAAAAATCTTGAGGGCCTGTGTGCAAGTTGTGCACTTTATTTAAGATCCCTTGATGGTCCAAAATCGATAGAGTAGTCTTCGGCGGTCACCCGCGCATAATTCAAAATTAATTCCTACCATATCAAACTGAAAACGTTTCATGTGTCCTGTGCAATCATCATATGACCTTATGCTGTTGTGAGCAAAGTAAAACACTTACCAAAAAAAAGGTGAAACAAAAGACCTAGCCTAGGCCTAAGGCTATGTGACTATGTCACATCACTTTTGGAGTGGCTCACGTAACGCGTTTCTCCTTACCATCTCTCGCTGACGGCTGCCCCATGTCATTCATCACTGGACTGGCCAATCACAACACCGCACCGCTGACTACCTGTTTGGAGCCCACCTACAGCCCCACACCCCCGACCCCCTTCCCCCAGCTAGAGCTCGCTGGATCTCTCCTGCTGTATCCAAGTTTAGGCCTTTCCTTGTCCCGCTAAACCGAGCACCGTTAAAAAATTGAGTTTACATACTGTTACTAATAGAGACAAAAAAGGGGGATTCCGGTAGTAAGGTCCCGCTGTAGGGATGGTCCCACTGCAGCGGGTGCCACTATAGTCATGCTCTACTGTGTTGTACTGACTTGCTGTTGGAAGTCAACCTGATGAAAACTAACATTTGGCCTTTTTGTAGTGAGTAGAGTACTTAACATCTACGGGCTTCTGTTTGGCGAAAACACTGATTGTTGCATGTAGTAGACTTCTTCCTTGTTAGATCTCGACTTGTGAAAGGGTCGGATAGTGGTTAACGAGAGCATAGTCGGTGAAGGCAAACAATGTAAAGGGCTCAAATGGGACGAACTTAACAGACAATCCTTAAGGGCCACTTTTCACTGGTACACCTGTAACTAGTGTGTAACATGCAAATTTTAGCTTGATCTTGAAGGTTCCAAAATTTACTACTGTGGGTGGAAGCGCTCCTGGCGAATTTACTTTGGTATGTATTTAAACCTGTACTAATCATTTCAGAAAAGCTTTTATGCTTGTTTAACTTTCTATATATTTGGTTTTTGTTTTGTTTGTTTTATCCTTGTTTAGTTTTCTTTTTTATTATTACTGGGGGGGTTTTTAACTGTAAATGCATTTATACAGTACATGATTTTTCTTGTCTTATATTGGTCCTGATTTCTTATTTTTCTTTCTACCAGCTACTTGACATGTGAGATTGGGACAGCACTTCATCACTGGCTCCACAGAGGCCACTCCCAGTTCCAGTAACACTGTACCTGATTCCTTGGGTCAAACGTGTTTCGACAGCCTGCGGCAAGTCGCAGATGGAACGAACCAACCGAAGAATCTGGCTGTTATGAAGCCCTGGGAAGTGTGACTATTTTGACAAACACTCACAGAGGTCTCACTTTACTTTATCTGAAACTTGCAGATTCCAGGATACATGTTTTAGAATTGTAAATATCTTTTATTCCATTTCTCTTCTGTGTGAGATGTCACCATTTCATTAGGATTGGTTCCTTGGTTGTTGTTGTTTGTTGTGTTTTTTTTTGGGGGGAGGGGGGGGTGTTGTTTCTTTTTTGTGTTGTTTTTAAGCATAGTGTATGCAATGTGCCCTGTTCAGCGGCAGCAATAAATATTCATGTTACATGAAGACTTACGGCTCTGTTTCTATGAATTGTATCCACATTTGTGCTATGACTAAGTCATATGACGTAGTTTTGAGAAAATCGAAAAAGCAATCTCATTATTTAACTTTTCCTTTCACCAGCCTCAATGATTCTGATCTTATTACAGTGGAAACCATATATAACAGGCCCGGTAATAACAGGGATCCGGTAATAACAGGGATTTTTTAAATCCCCGTTTTTTCCTACTCTTTGTCTCTATTAAAAGTTATCGGCAATAACAGGGCCTCATCGCAGCCCAACTGGTTATAGCAGGGACAAAGGCTCGTTACAATGTGTAAAAAGTAAGAGAGAGAGAGAGAGAGTAACGCAAAGATGGAGCAAGCCCACGCAAGCCATGCCACTGCAAGCACACGCAGCGTGTGAAGTGAGAGAGGGCTGCGGTGTGCTGCAGACCTCGATCTAGCCCGAAACCTAGCAACACACATGCGTAATGTGTCACCAACGATGTCAAAGGCACGTGAAAATGCCTTTCAATTGACAAAAAATACGAAATAATCCGGGCTGTTGACAAAAAGCAAGCTCACCTGGCAGAGATTTATTGTCAGTTTGACATTCCACTGGGGTCGATTCACACCATTATCAATGATAGAGAGAAGATAGTGGCAGCATACTCAAACTCAAATGGAAAGTTAGCTCTGGATGGAAAGAAGATGAGACTACCCTAAGCAAATGCTGTGGACCAAGCTCTTCTGATGTGGTTTAAGGAGGCAAGGAGAAAGTTAGTGCCAAAACCCCTGTTCGTTGGTACTTGTGGCAAGGGAAACTACCCATGAATAACTACAGCTGGATTAGTCCACAAATGCTTACTTTCCTTGCATTTCTGATTTAACAGGGATCGGATATAACAGGACATTTTCTCTACTCCCACCATCCCTGTTATATCAGGTTTCCACTGTACCTCACTGGCTACCCATGCCGTATATGACACAGTATAGTATAGTACTGTTTCCGCTGACTACCTTTGCCGCAGCCCCTGGGGTTTTTTAGTTCAGAGAGGGGTTTTTTCACATTATTATCTCAGCATATGCAGCTTGGGTACTGGCAGATCAAAGGTCCAAACATTCCCTCGACCCCAAGAGCAGGGAAAAGATAGAAACGCACTTCTGGTGCTGTGAGTGCCAAGTGCCGTTGTGCATAGGACAATGTTTCCATATGTATTTATCACACAAAGGAGAGTTACTAGGCAAGCTGTAACAAACAGTTACAACTGGACAGACTGTTGCTATTGCTGGTCCTTTTTGTGTTGTCTATGGTTATGTGCCACAATCAATAGGAAACAAACATTTTAGTTGCATACAATTCACATTTGATTTGTTTTCCTGGGTCCCACTTTGAAGTCCAACCATTGTTCTTGAGGCAATTTCCTAACCTATTTGTGTTGTTATTTAAAAATTAAATGAAAGAAGGAAATCACATTCTGTTTGTTGCCTTACAATCTTTATTATGTCCATAATAAGTGAGCAAGGTTTTGCTACTTTACGTCAGTTAGTTTGGAAAACACATTGAAATAGCAGGTACGCAGGGTACATCAAAGACAAATAGCAGGTAGCCAGTGAGTTAATTAAAAGTTTGTCAACAGATTTTTACAATTATCTGATGTGGTAGTATTCCTATTCCATTTCATTATGATAAAGCAATGCCACACGGAATCAGTCTTACTTTTTGCTAGTTCACGTCGCCTAAAAATGTAAATGGTCAAAGACTAACTTTTTTTGTTTCTTACTCGAGAATGGATAAGCACATTGGCACACAGTAACGATCTTTTAGTGCAGGGAAAGAGGAAGAGGGGAAGAAACAACAAACATGTATATAATACATATTATGCAAAAGCAAATTTTATTTAAACATTTTAAATTAAAACAGTTCCAAGAAAGCAGTGTAAAAATCATTAACAAATTTCATTGTGTCTGTACTCAGAGCCCTTTTTACTAGAGAAATTTCAGATTGTAAGCCCCTTCAACCTTGTAAGGGAAATCATCTCCCTGATTACACAGTACATTTTCTTGTCAACTTTTATTTACTGATATATATAACTTTCAAAGGAGAAGATTTAACTTGACCATACACTTTGTCACATACACGAAATCCTGCTCTGTGGATAGTAGGGCTGGGATTTCACTGGTAATTTAACACGCAGGTAATACCCAGGTAATGAAAAAATACCTGAGTATTCGTCGGGTACCCGACATTTCTTTTCTTTTTTTTTTTAAATTTGGGGGGAGGGGGGGATGTGGTTTTTTCTTCTTTTTGGGGGGGTTTTGTTGTTTTTTATCTGTTTTGTTTTGTTTATTTTTTTACTTTAATTTTATTTTCTAAATTAACATAAATTGGACACAACAAAATAAGCGTACACAAAAATTTAGCTGTCCCTGTGGTATTAAGCACTCCGCATAATTTAGCAAAATTTGATCATTTTTTGCATAATTTCTTTACCATTCTTTGTTAAAATTAATAATCGCATAATTTCACATTTTTGGGCTCAGTTTGCATAATTTCAGAATTATTTTTGGCATAAAACCGCGGGGGATATATTGAAAATTCAAGACAATGGGTCTAACAGAACTCTCAATGAAGTTAATGACTTAACGACATGAATAAAAGGCAAGGAAGACAGATAAAACATATAATACATGTTGGACTGGGAAAGAGGAGGCCAGTCATTTCAAATTTTTGTATAACTCTCAGCTGTTTTGCCTATTTTGGCTTTTTCATTTATGTTTCAGGGGTCCTCCATACCCTCAAGCCTCATGCAATAATCTATATCTACTCCAGATAGGCATATTATATATCAAAGGAAAGGGAATTGGATGGTCTTTCAGACTTGGCCAATAGATTTCATTTTTTGTCAAGCTGCCTTGAAGTTGAAGTGGGACCTTTTTTCTTGTTACTAAAAAAAGAAACAAACAGAAATCCCACTTTTTCAACAGTTGCAAAGAAGGGGGGAAAAGTTTTTGAGAATTTAGATTTTACAATTATTTCAGGGAAAAGTGCATTCAGTTTTGCATATTGTGTGTCAAAGACACACCATTCTGTTAGAAAACAAAGAAATGAGAGCCATTCTAGTACATCCTACAATTCCTTGTTGTTATTGCCCTTGAATCTGAAAATTTCATATCGTGACGTTTTTCTCTCAACAAGCCTCCTGCAATAATCTATCTGCTCCAGATAGAAATGGTATATCATATACCAATGGAAAGGGAATTAGAATCTAGATGGTCTTTCAAACCTTGCCAATAGATTTCATATTTGTCAAGCTTTCTTGAGGTGTGACATATTTTTCGTGTTCCCAAAAATAAGGTGCGAAAACTTGAGAAACAGAAATCTGACTGCCCCAACTATCACAAAGAAAAAAATTTTTGTACAATTTATTTACATTAATTTGATGAGAAAGTACATTCAATTCTGCATGTAATGTGTAAAAGACAACTCATTCTGTTGAAAAATAAAGAAATGAGGGCCGTTCTTGTGCATTCTACAAATTCTCGGTTATTGCCCTTGAAACTGGAAACTATTTTTTTCACTGCACCTTCACTGACAGGAAGCCGTTTGAAACAGGGGTCGAGGATAGTTGATGCTGCCACAAAATACGCGTCCTCGAGTTGTGTGAAGCGCTTGCAAAGCTCACTCTGTAAAAGAACTGCCAGAGGCCAATATCGATCGAGTACTCTATCGACTAAGAGAGCTCAGTATCGATAAGTAATCACTGGCTTTAATCAGTACTTACAATGATAATGATAGTACATAACAAGATGGGCCACTTCTCTCTTTGAGCCAATTAAAAAAGTGTCCTCAAAATTTGGTGGCGCCCTCTTCACAAAAGCGCACTCTTTGCGAACAGAGTTACCCTACTTGAGTTTTAAAAAATCAAAGTGAAACTAGCAAGTTTTGGGATAAATTTCGGAAGAACGCTTTTTAAAATGGTTACGCTGACAAAAAACCTCTTCCGGGGGAAAGGGTGAAGGTTTTCTTCGTTTAAGCAATGATAGTAAATAACAAGATGGGCCACTTCTCTCTTTGAGCCAAATAAAAAAGTGTCCTCAAAATTTGGTGGCGCCCTCTTCACAAAAGCGCACTCTTTGCGAACAGAGTTACCCTACTTGAGTTATAAAAAATCAAAGTGAAACTAGCAAGTTTTGGTATAAATTTCGGAAGAACGCTTTTTTAAATGGTTACCCTGACAAAAAACCTCTTCCGGAGGAAAGGGTGATGGTTTTCTTCGTTTAATTTGACTTTAGAATGAAAGGCGAGAGGTCATTAAAATTTTTAAAACCTAAAACTCCGCACTGAACGTACCCGAACTGCTGATGAACAGCAGTCGATCTGCGCACGCAAGGAGGTGCTATTCCTATTCTTCTTCTGGAAAAACGAAAGAGAGCTTCAAAACAGACTGCAGCGCCATCTGAAGCAAAGAGCATACTTCCTGCGGACACTTTTTTGGCTGAGTGGCCCATCTTGTTATTTATTATCATTGGTTTAATTTGACTTTAGAATGAAAAGCGAGTGGTCATTAAAAAATTTTTTAACCTATAACTCCGCACTGAACGAACCCGAACTGCTGATGTACAGCAGTCGATCTGCGCACGCAAGGAGGTGCTATTCCTATTCTTCTTCTGGAAAAACGAAAGAGAGCTTCAAAACAGACTGCAGCGCCATCTGAAGCAAAGAGCATACTTCCTGCGGACACTTTTTTGGCTGAGTGGCCCATCTTGTTATTTATTATCATTGGTTTAATTTGACTTTAGAATGAAAAGCGAGTGGTCATTAAAAAATTTTTTAACCTATAACTCCGCACTGAACGAACCCGAACTGCTGATGTACAGCAGTCGATCTGCGCACGCAAGGAGGTGCTATTCCTATTCTTCTTCTGGAAAAACGACTTATTAAGATTCGAACAAAGAGACGTAATTTAAGAGCATTTGCATAGGATTTAACAAAGGGGAGTAGAAACCCGGGTACCCGACACCA